GCGGGCGGGGGGGCGGGGAAGGGGCAGCAGAAGAACGGCTTTTCTGCCCCTCCGTGGGGAAGAGCGCACACCTGTGTGGGCAGACAGAGCAAAGAAGTAGCGAGAGGCCGGCCAGTATGGAGCTGAGCAAAGGCCCCGCCATGCTGTCCCCCGGGAGATCAGGGGAGACCACGCCCCCCACCTGGGAAAGACCCCCCAGGTCCTGGGCCCTGGCCCTGCATCGAGGGGCAACGCCGTCCTGACGAACACAGGCTGCCCTACGGCGGCCAAGGCAGGAGGGCGCGTCACCAGCACTGTGCAGGGCTACTCCACGCTTCGCGGGCTGAGGGGACGCGGCTGGGGCTACGTGTGGCCCACGCCCGAGTCCCCATCTGCACCCACGTCCCGCACCGTCCGTTACGCCACAGCTGGGAGGAAAACATTCCTAGCAGGCCCAGAACAAAACCAAGCGGCTCCTCGGGTTTCCCTGTGGGGCAGAGCAGGCGCCTCTCCCACCCCGGCAAAAGAAGAGCAGGGCGGGCACCGAGCAAGACGCCTCCCTGCCCACATTCTGCCCCCACACGGGCCGACCAGCTGCTGCAGCAGGAGACCCACAAGCAGCCCGCACGCGCGACAGCACCCTCCCTCCCATGCTCCCCAGCAACCGGTGTGCATGGCACAGAGCCGCCGGGACTCCATGGGGGGCCCTGGAGAGCCGCCTCCCCCATGAAGGCACCCGAGCCCCTTTCAGAGCCATCCAGACCGTCGGCCATCGCCTCCCCAGACTCGGCTCGCTGCGGCGTGCGCACCTGTCTCCAGGGGTCTGGGCCCGTGCTGCCGTGGCGCGGCCACGCGTGCGAAGTGCAGCCGAGCTGTGTGGGTCTGAAGAAAGACGCGACCGTGCAAGGCGGCCGCAAGGCTGAGACCTCTGAAGTGTGAGACTGAATTGTGTGATGCTCGATTCTTAGCACAGCATCTGCCTGCGTGACATTCCGTTCTGCTGTGTCGCAAGGCATTCACATTCAAAATACAAGCTGAAATGCAGCGGCGAGAGAGAGGCTTGCCAGGAACAAGAAATTCACCTCTGCCAGGTGTCAGGAGCGTGCACAGAAGCAGGGGCCGGGCGTACAGATCCTGCTGAATGCTCTCAAAGTGAGCCCTTGTGCACGTCACGGGCCACCTGCATCAGAGAGTGGCATGTGCTTTGGAGACATCCAGCTGGAGAGAGGTATAATTTGGGAATACCTCGAAGTGCCTCTCCCACCTGGGCAAGAGGAGGAGGCAGGCTCAGGCAACTGGCCATAGCGGCTGTGGCGTTCGCAATGAGCCGGTGTGGTGCAGCGTGGGGTAAAAGCGTGGGGCTGGGACTCGGGCGGTCCGGGTTCTAGTCTGCGCCCAGCCATGGAGCGGACGGGGGACTCTGGGCCAGTAAGCAAGGCTGTTCTTCAAGGAAGAACAAGATGCCTTTCGGAGTGCAATGCCCATGAGAGAGAACCCCCTTCCCAGCTCTGAGGGCCCCCCCGCCCCCCGCCCCCCCTTGTTTCCCTACTCAAGGCTCGCCCACTACTGGGACATCTCCTCTTGCCCTCGCTCGCCACAGGGAGGCACGCGCGGCCCCCCGCCCGCTATTCTTCCCGCAGATAATAGAGAATAAATTGCAATTAGATTTGGTAATTGTAGATAATTAACTTAAATGAGAAGTTAATTATAAAAAATATGTTTTTCGGGTGTTGAGCGTTTTGAAAGAAAATAAATGATAGAATCATGTTTTGCTTGAGCAAGTTTAATATTTTAATTTTTTTTGCCCCCTTTCAGAAATGAAAGGAAAACAAAGCATAGTAAGAGCCATTAAGAGAATGCCGAGGTTTGACTCTGGGGCCCGTTCATGTCAGCTGGGGGGGAGAGAGCTTCTTTCTGCTGGGGGGGGGTGTGTCACCCCACCCACCCCCAAAATGCAGAAAGGCCTCTGGCACTTCGATGGCACCGTCTGACTGCCCAACGCCGCTCTCCACCCCAGGATCGCGAGCACCCCTTTCGGGGACTGCAGCAAACGTCACTGCCGTGCCATATCCAAGCGCACCAAGGAGACAAATGGACTTGTCGGTTTAGCCTCCTCTGGCTTTACATTAGAATAAATTATTTAGGGTGCATTTGTCTGGTAACCTTTGCAGAGCTGATGAATGAATACGCAAAGCGAGCTTTCGGATGCCAGACTTCACAACCAGCTGGCATGGAGACTGGGGAATGCGGAAGAGCACGGTAATGCCGGAAAGCTACGGTGTGGCCTGTCATGAGAGTGAGAAGGACAGAGAGAGAGACAGCCTTGCGCAATCTCAAAGCCTCGGTTTACATACAGAACATTAGCAGTCTAGATTCGGGTTGTCTCTGCAGTCTTCGCTGAGGGTATGAGGATGCTCGAGGATAGTTTATCCGGCAGAATAACACATCCACTTTGGTACTTGTGTTTTCTCATACTTACCTATTGCTTTTGGATCAAGAAAACCCAGAAAAGAGATGGAATAGTTCACTCCCACCTCTGTGAGAAAGTGACGCATTCTTACCTTGATAAGGAGAATTCTATGCACAAGCAGCAGAAAAGCTAACTTGGAGTACGAATCAAAAGCGGCCATGCTACTGAGAGCAAAATTACTGCCCCGCTTTGCACACCACAGCAGCGATTTCTGGTGGTGACTGTTCAAATAGGAATTGCCAGCGAAGAGCATCACTGGCCAGCCACTTCCAATTTTAATCAGTACCCCATCCTGGGTTGTTTTGTTATGTCTGGATGTGGAAACTCTGGATTGTTTATGGCCAAACAGGCCAAAGTTACCAAATATATCAGCGTATAAGAGGACCTTTCAAACCAGAAACAATGAGGCAAAAATCAGGGCATTATCATATACACCAGGTGAAAGATTTTCATCATATTATATACATGGTTTGAAAAAGAATATATCATAGAAGAGTAGACTTGGAAGGGGCCATGAAGGCCATCAGGCCCAACGCCCTGCTCCTGCAGGACACCAATTCACACCATCCCCTCAGGTGGCTGCCCAGCTTCTCTTTGGATGCTCTTCCTCCTTGTGACAGCCTTTGAGGTACATATGGAGGGATATCATGCCCCCCCCCAGTCTTGTCTTCTCAAGTCTGAACATGCGCAGCTCTCTCCATCTTTCCTCATATAATAAAGACAATTGCATCTATGATTAATAATCATAAAAACCCTTCCTGCTGGTGCCAGAGGAGCTTGTCCTGCATCGCATCCTTGCCCATGGGGGCCTCCTTCCTCTCGGCGGCCCCTTCAAGCCCTTCCCCCTGCGCCCTTGGCGGCACTGGTGCCAGCCGTCCTTCCAGGCCAACCCCACCCAGCGAGCCCCCTTGAAGGCTGCCACCAGCCCCCAAATTGGAGAGGGCATGTGGCTATTAGCTCGACTCTGGTAGCATGACATCACAAGGGTCTAGAAGCTTCCGGCTGACAAATACCTGCATATACTGGCATTTAAGAGTCCCTTGCACCTGAAAATAGCGAAGCAAAAATTGGGGGTTGTCTTTTATGTCCAGCTTATGACAAACACCAGATAAACAACCCAAAATATTGACCTCATCTTACACTTGGGTCACCTTGCACGCCTGCAGATATGGTGACTGAGCGACCACCCTTGATTGGTCGTTGAGTTAGCTCTGGGTTATTTAACTACCAACCAAGGCAAAGTTTCCGGGTTCAGATGTCACAGAGCAATCCAAGACATCATCCACACCCCACCGTCCCAAAACAGTTCGTCACCAGCGGGCTCAGCGGGAGGAAGGCTCAGGACCCAGTGATCGCCCCTTCCCTGAGTGCCGATTCTTGTAGCAAGGCGCCTGCATGTGCATTAACACTGGAGAGAGGCAGGCAGAGGGATCCTACGCTGCCTGGCCCAGGATTCGAGCAGCACTCCCCACTCCAGAAGCCACCAGCAGCTCGCTGGGGAACGTGCTCCAGGGCCTGGCGGGCCGCTTTCCTCTGTTGAAGCAGAGAGGTTGCCAGCGGTCACTGTTTCAGCTCGGCCCAGCTGAATTTCAGCCCCAAAGCTGCACTGTTCGCCTGCCTGTTCCGCGGCCCAGTTTTCCTCCTGGCGCTGCATGCTTGAACATCTCTATCTCACCTGTCAGCCCCCGCACTCATTAGCCGCCCCTTCGCTGTGGTGCCCCAACCTGTTCCTGCCTCCCATCGGACCCAGATTTCATCATCAGCACTCTCCACTCCAGCCAGCCAAGAACCTCTAAGCCAGCCTTCCCCAGTCTGGCCTCCTCAAGAAGTGCCGGACCACAACTTCCAGTGCTGGCTGAAATGATGGGGCCGGCAGTCTAATGGATGCTTCTCCTTCTCCTACAGTACCAGAAGCCCACGGAGCTGATGGGTGGGAGATTCAGGATCGACCAAAGGAAGACTTGTGAACGCAGCAGAGTTAATCTACGCAAATCAGCGCCACCAGAAGTACTGATGTCCACCCATTTGAATGGTTTTAAAGGGGGACCGGCCAAATGTGTGGAGAAGGCGGCTATCAATGGCCACTAGCCCTGTTGGCTACCTGCCGCCCCCATTACCAGCGGCCGCGTGCCTGCCTCCACCAGCTGAGCAGCGTCTCTGCAGGAACTCTTCCTCCCATCCTGCCAGAGGGATCCTGTGGGTTTGCCGCTGCGTGGGTGGAGTGCCCGGCTGGAGGGAGCACAGGCTGGATCTGCCAGGGCTGCTGCTCCCACGCCCTTACCAGCCGGGGAAGCTGCCCCAGCCGAAACTGTCCCTCAATTCGCCTGAAAGGCCCCAAGTCCCTCCCCCACCGCACTGAAGGACAGCGCTGCGATTTCACTCTGTGCTTCTCATTCTTTCCGGCTTGAAGCGCTTCATCCCCGACACGCAGAAGAAGAAACGGAGCACACGGACGTGAAACTACATGTGTGGCGGAAAGCCAGAGGGACGGCCCTTGAAACAGACCGACACACGGAAGTACTTAATGCAGGACGGAGAGTCCAGGCCTTACCTCAGCTGCCAAGCAGTGCCGTTCATCGCTGGGGCCGGACCACCCGCTCTCATCAGCGCTTCATCCATGAGCCGCTCCTCTGAACTGGGATGGTGGCCTTTGAAGCTGGGTGGGAAAGAACCACACATCGCGATGAACAAACGAAGCACCCGTCACCCCTTCTTTTCCTCTTCACCTCCTCTTGCTCTCTCTCTCTTCTACTCTCGCTCCAGCTGCAAACCAATATGCAGCCCCCTGCGGAGAGAAAGTCCAGCAATACACCACGATCTGCAAAGTACAGGCTGGAGGAGAAGGGCCCATCCGCTGGACCTGCCAGTGTCCGTGGAGGGCTGACTTACTGCAGAGCTGAAAGGCTGAGGCTGAGGAGACCGTGTAGGTGAGGGCGACGAAAATGATCAAAGGACTGGGAAGAGGCAGGGTTACAGTAGCTAGCCCCGTTCCCTCAGGTGAGAAAAGGTGAGTTTAGGGAAGACCTGATAAAGGGGTGCACCATTATCCCTGGTGAAGGGATGGGGAGCTTTCTTGCTTTCCCATAATCCTAGAGCCTGAAGCTGAATGCTGAGACGTACATGAGAGGGAGAGGGAGAGGCAGAGCGGTACATGTTCACACAATGCACCATTAAACTATAGAATGGGGGCATTACAAGCTGTAATGTTGCCTACCAGCTTGGAGGGCTTTAGCGGATCACTAGAGAAATTCCTGGAGGAGGCGGCTATCAAGGATCACTAGTCCTGGAGACTCTGCACTACCTCCAGAATGCAGTGCGGGATGTGCCCTTAGTCTGACCATCAGGGCTCTGCTTATGGACACAAACATCGCAGGAGGGCATCTCTGGATTTTGCACAATAAGCTTCCCCAAGATGTGCTATTATGAAGCTCAGATTCTGTAAACAGATTGTAAATTGTGCGTGCCTGCAAAGGAATCTCTTCAACAATGCGCAGCGGAGGAGTCTCTTTTGCTGCTGAAGTCCCTCAACCTTACCAAACTTTATCGAAAAAGAGAGAGAAAAATCAGTATTCACACAATATGTAATTGCCAAGGTTTTCAGTTGAAAGGTCTAACAATGGCCCCCACTACATTAAGCGGCTTTTAAGGGCCCCGGTCAAATTCACTGGGGATGGAACCTTAGGTCACCGTTAACCAGGATGGCTCACTGGTCCTCCATCTCCAGAAGCAGCAGCGGAGAACGGCTCCTGGCATGCGCTGCTTGTGGACTTCCTGGAGACATCTGTGTCACCACCACAGGAAACAGGAAGCTGGACCAACGGATGTTTTCTCGGATCGAGAGGACTCTTCTTCCAGTAGTGATATCATCATTATTATCGGAGCTGGAAGCTGTGCTAAAGGCTCCTGGACTACGTTGAAGACACGTGCACCCTGAGCCAAACCAAGAGCGGGGGCAGTTTTACCTACACACACACACCAACAACCACTTGCAGAGACATACACTATTGTGGGTGGGGGGATTGTTTCTCTCTCTCTCTCTCTCTCTCTCTCTCTCTCTCTCTCTCTCTCTCTCTGCGCACTGCAGTAGAGCTTAGAGCATCTAGTATAGGGCTTAAAAAATAAAGTCCTTGCGCTCCAGAAATAGAGGTTGCATTTAGCTATCATGGCTAGCACTGTTGAGAGACCCATCTATCCTCCATGAACTTAAATTAATCAATACAGGGGAAGGAGCGGAGCAGAGACAATAAAGGATGCCTCTGGTCTTCCTTCTGCAGCTTTTCTGCCAACCAGCACTTTACGGAACGTGCAATCTTCGCAGCAGAAGCTGGGTAGAGCAGATGTGAGGATGCACAATAAGGAAAGCGTAATTGCAGAGCCGTTTAAGAGCCCTGTCGCTGGGCAGCGGATGCCCCACAGAGTGCTCAGAACGCTTTCGAAACAACAACATTGCTTCGCGCAGACTTCGGGCCTTCCTTTTCTTTCCCCATTAGTGGGAACATATGCATGGATTTAAGATGTTTGATCATTAAAAACCCATCTGTTCCTACTTAGTTCCTCACCTTTGTTTGTGACCCCAGCCGTCTTCCAAAGTACACAGCTCTGATTGCCTCTGATCAAACAGGCATTTTAAAAACCAAAGCAACAGAGCTTGTTTCTGAACAGCATCGTACAGACAAAGGAAGCTCTCGGGGGCACCGGGAACTATGGGAGGCACCCCCGGCCACAGACACCACTGCTCATGCCCACGGCAGCATCTGTAGGCTACTTCTGAGTCTCTACTTGGTGTCTCATAGAAACACAGAAAACAGAGCGAGTCAGAAGGGTCCTCCCGGGCCATCTAGTCTGACCTCCGGCACCAGCCAGCTCCGCTCACGACATGCCCACCAAGTGGACGTCCAGCCTATCCTTGAACACCCGCACCGATGGGGCCTCAATGACCTCTCGTGGAAGCCCATTCCACACCCTCGGGGTCCTGACTGTCAGAAAGTGCTTCCTGGCATCCAAATTGAACCTCAGCTCCTTCGCTCCATTGGAACAAGTCTTGCCTTCCTCCTCAGGGGAGAACAGGTCTCTCCCCACCTCCGTGTGACATCCCCTCACATACCTGTATGTTGCCAACAGATCCCCTCTGAGTCTCCTCTTCTCCAGGCTGAAGAGACCCGGTTCCCTCAGTCTCGCCTCATACGGCATCCCCTGCAAACCAGCCACCAACCTTGTGGCCCTACACTGCACTGACTCCAACCTGGCTATATCCTTTCTGTAATGAGGGGCCCAAAACTGAACACAATACTCCAGTTGCAGGCACACCAGAGTCATATAGAGTTGTAGTAATACCTCTCTCGATCCAGAAGCCACACTTCTGGCTATGCAACCAAGGGTGGCGTTCGCCCTCTTGGCCACCGCATCACACTGTGGGCTCATGTTTAGCCTGCAGTCAACCAGCACCCCGAGGTCCCTTTCACAAGTGCTGCTCTCCAGCCACTTATCACCTAACCTGTCTTGTGCCCAGAGAGGGTGGCAAAGAACCCCCTTTGCATGCAGAAGCTGCCAGATCCCGTCCCTGGCGTCTCCAGGAAGAACTCGTGCCTGAAACCCTGGTGAGCCGCTTCCTGCCAGTGTCGAAACTTCCAGCCTGGGTGAACTGGCTGACGGGTGTCCAGCAGCACCCACGGGTAGCCTCCAGCCAAAACCAACATATCTGAGTCCCCTTCCACCATTCTCTGCCACTCTGTCAAAAGGAAGGGAAGGGAGCGAGCAGGACCACACCTGCTGCCCTCACCTGTCTGAATGGAGAAGCTGGCACTACCTGTGCAGGCATTCTGCATGGTTTAGGCCTGATCCCCTGGCATTCCAACAGCCACACGGGGTAGGCTGCCCTCTTCCAACAGGAGGGGCAGCAGGCACAACTGCAGCGTGCAGGAAGAGGGGCTGAAAGGGATTCTACACCTGGCCTGACCTTTGGAGGCACCTGCTTTTTTGGTGGGGGAGAGGTCAGTAGCAACTGCCAACAATGCCTTGTAAGAGAAACCAAGCTTTGCGCAGGCCTGAGAAACGTGAAATATTCTATTATTACTTATTTAGTATGGTTCTAATCCACCCAGCAACTAATGTTCTCTATGTGAATTATAGCCCATTAAAAGTTAAATAGCTGACAAAAGTCTCTAAAGTGAAGGCCCACATGATGAAATTCCCACACCGATTTCTTTTTGGCTTTGGAAGTGCATGGCCTTTCTACTTCTCTCCCCACAATACAGTGAAGTTTTATGCTAGACTGCTATGGAAATACGTCTAAAACTATGAAGGTAGAATGTCTAAGTCCAAACCCTCAAAGGCACTTGCTTGATAATACTGCCTCACATCGGGAAGGGAAGGGAAGGGAAAAAGGAAAACACCTAATGCAGGTTTTGAGATTGTTCAGAAGTCAGTTTTAGTCCTTTTACAGAGTAAGTGAATCCGAAGAAGACTCAAGAAGACTCAAGCTGCCCGGAGCACACTGTGTATCCAGTTTTCACGTGGCACCTTGGAGCTCCTCACCCCTTTCTGAGGACAGCCGTGCTTGCCGTGGGCGTGCTGGTGCTCGGCACAGCAAACGCTCCAAGTGAAGAGACGCATGCCCTTCGACAGCCTTGCATATGCACTGGGGGAGCCGCTGCACACTGCGCGTGCGCACAGGCGGTGCATAAGCCAGTATGCGGCTGCTGGGACCAGCACAGCCTCGTATCCGTATCCCCACGGCAAAGACAGCTTAAAGGGCTCTGCGGTTCTGAGTGACTCAGGTGACACGGACCGGAGATCATGTCATGCCAGAGCTGGCTGGCCACAAGGCTTGCAGCCCAACTGACAAGCTGGTTGCCTGTCTCTGCTCTTCCCGGGCTGCTGCCCCTTATCAGTCCGCCCTCCTTCGTGGGTATCTCTAAAGCTATCAGCCTATTATTATTATTATTATTATTATTATTATTATTATTATTATTATTAGAACATTTCTGAACCACTTCTTGCCTTCACCAGCAAACTTTCAACTTACAGATTTCAATTAGCTCTGAACTGTTTCTCATCTTTTTTTCATTCCAAAAAGTCGGGGGAAGGCAAATGAAAGGAGATAATTGTTCAGGTGGCTTCGCTCCTGCCTTTAAAAAGTGAAGGGGACAGCAGGGGATTGACACCTTCCTGGAAAAGCAGGCTGCCAGCAGGCATCGCAAGAGCGCGCTGCTTCCAGTATCAGAGCGAGTTTGCCCGCATGCACCAGTTCCCGGGGAACTTGGACTGGAGGGCGCTGTTGAACCCACATCCTGCGAGTGGGTCCCCTGTAGGCGCGCAGGCGACCACTGTGCAGACGGCCTGCTGGACCAGAGGAGCCTTGGTCCGACCAGCAGGACTTTTCCCATATTCTTAAAATAGCTGAACAAACGCCGGGCTCTGTTTTGAGCAGAAAAGCCTCCGCGGAGGGGTAGCTCGCAACGGTGTATTTTTTTTTTCAAAAACCCGAGAGCGAGAGTTCATGTGGAGACGGAGGGCTTGGAGGACAGCGGGGAAGAAATTAATATTAGTTCGCCATGTGGACAACTTACGTGAAATTAAAAAGCTTGTATAGACCAATCCCACGCCACAGCCTTCCACACTCGCACTGCAAACACCCTACGTGAAACTCCCGCAGCGTATCATCCACTTGCAGGGTAGTTATCACTCAGTGGTTCACGCATGACACCCCCTCCAGCACGCACGGCTCAGGCCAAGTGCCTTTGGATAAATTAGAAAGCTCTGTGAGCTTTGCCAAGTTCTTCAGCGTCCCAAAGAACACTTCGGAGTAGTTCTAATTCACTTCTAATGTACCACAAGACATCGGCCCAGTGAAGCCGCCACCTGACCTCCCTTCTGAACGGACCAGGTTCTCTCTATATAAAATGGTGCTCCGACGGAAGCCGATTTCCACGTCCCAGCTCAAACTCACCGATTGTAATCAAGCCTGGATTGTTGAAGCTGCTGCTGCTGGAGCAGCAATTTCGCCTCTTGCTTGGCTAACAGATTCTGAAGGCGTTCCTTTTTGATTTCCAGCTCCATTTTCTGGAGCAGGAGCTGTTTCCGCCTTTCTTCCGATAGCCTCTTACCACTCCCTGTTTCTTGAGCTCTCGCGTCCGTGCTGCTGTTCAGCCCCAAGGGCCGCGGTGAGCAAGAGAGGCCTGCAGAGGGGCCGCCGTGTGGTCCAGAGTATCCTTTCGGAATGCAGCAGCCATCTTGGAAGGAATCGGGATCTGGGCTGCCGAATTTCTTGTGGAAAAAACAAGTCTGAAGAGGACAAGTGCTTTTCCTTTGGTCCACATTTGGCGTTCTTTTACTAGGGGGAGGCAACTTCTGCTTGGCTGGGGACGACCCGTTATTGCATCTGCTGCGCAAGCCATTTTCCAGTAGGAATCCATTCGTATCTTCCTGCCGACCTCCTGGGGTTGCAGTCCCAAGCACATGACCATTCCTACAAGACTGAGCGAGGGATTTGGGACTCGGGCTTCCACAAGCCATTCTGTTACTCTTGTGCAATGGCTGTGGTCTAGCTATACTACGGTAGGATCCGTCCAGTTCCAAAGGTGGTGGTGGCTGATGAAAACTCCTCTCCTTGGACATCTATAAGTAACGAGAGACAAAAAAGAGGTTAACTTAAAAATTAAATGGCTCCTTTTCTAGTTTTACCATGTAAAAAACCTATACCAGCATCGGTAGGCTTGTGGCAGTTTGATGGTCGACACCTAGCACAACTCAACAGGAAATGGTTTTCAAATAAGAGATGAACATGCTATCAAATCTGCAATTTAATTCCGTCTACACAGGTACGATAAATATAAAACTACTGCCTGCAGGATCTTGGGCATAAACAAGGTACTTCAGCCTATCAAGGAGTTGTGAGTATCTAGGGTTACATAAAATCAACTTGAAGTGTGGCAAAAAAGCATTAAATGTTAATGTCTGAAAATGTTTAATTTTGAATACGAAGCCAAGAAATCCATTCAGCCACTATAAATACCGTCTGATTGGCCATTACACAGCAGGGGATTTGATGTAAAACATTTCACCTTGCACTGAATGGGATATTACTTACTATTGGAAATTTGATGAGAGATTTTGAAATATCCTTATAGAAACACTGATAAAGAACTAGACCACTTCCTGTAAAATACAGTTCTACATCAAAAGCTGTCATTCAACTACAAAACATGTTTAAATCCTACCATAAAAGTGATTTTTTTCAATTAAGCTGGGCTGGTGATGAGATTCTGATCAAACTCCAAAGCTAGAAAGACAAGCTAATTTGCATTTGTCAGCCCAAGCCAAGGATCTGTGGAGAAAGGAGAAATGGAGCTAGGCCTGCAGCCTGTGAAATTCATATTCCCGGGCGCTCAAAAAGTTCTGCACTGCACTTGGGCACCACGATTCCACTGCCAGCCCAGCAACTTTCAAACAGCTGCTTGGGGCTCCATGGAAACTTTGCTTCAGAAAAAGCAATATATTTCAACCTTGTTTCAGACCGAACTTCTTTCGGGGGTATGGTTTTAGAGGGTACCAGCAATTTATTGCAGTAACCAACAACTGCAGGGCAGCCAAAACATTTTGATGAGAAGTGTAAGATGAAAAATCCGAAGAGCTTCCAGGGAAGGCTCTTTCCCGAGAGCACCATGAAGCAGATTGACACATTAAGGTTCTGAATTTATGTTCTGACTACAGGAAGCCAGCTTCCCTGCCTCCTCCTTCCTACCTTTTACTGGAAAGGCCGTATAAAAACCAATCCTCGCTCTGCACTTCTGCTGAAACATTAGGTAGAATTTCCTCCCCAGATCCAGGCGCCCTGTGATGGAAGAGTCCTAGGGCTGCCAGCCTGAAGCCATGGCAACCCACGATGGGCTGTTCCCCACCGTGGGTTGCCGTGCCATGAAAACCCACACCACTGCCCGCATACAATGGCATGCTGGGTCTGTCCAGCCCAGGAGGCCAACCTCGTCGTGGGTCTTGGGGAGTGGCTAGCGAGTGGCTCGGCTGGAGCGGCAGAAAGCGCTTGCTGCTCGCTCCTGTCACGTGAGCCCAGCCACCCGCCAGCGGCAGCCGTTCCACAACTGCCCCACCAGCACATGGAGTGGTCGGCAGGGGCTTGCAATGCTCCCTGTGGGCCATTTTCTGCTCAGGGTGCTTTTTCTGCCACTCCCCCTTTCTGTTTCCAGAGCCTGATTAAGCGCTGGCTTCCACAATCCCCGTTTTGAGGCCCCTGGACGAACGGCTTCTTTTGATTGCACAGACAGTGTGCAAATAATAGTCATGAATGCACAGCTGCAGAGAGTTGCAGTGCTGTGCGTGTGGAAATTTAAACCCTCAGGTGTGCCAATGAACTGGGGACAAATCTGCAGCCAAAGTGCAGCAGGTGCCAATGTTGGACGCTGACCCAGAGTGGCTCCTGCTGGGTTTCTTTTCCATTTGCTTTCTCTTGACAGCTGTCAAAAGGCAGTCTGTCAAGGGACCGCGACGACGCAAGCAACCCCGACTCTAGCAAAGAGGGTGGTGTGATTCACAGCAGGAGCCTCCTATTTTACTCACCCCGACAGTTCCCAGAGCCACGCACAGTTTTGTACTTCCGCCTGAGACAACGTTGTCACGGGCTGTTCCAGCTGAGACTGCAGGTGACCGTGTAAGAGGCTGCGTGTTGCAGCCCATCCACGCTAACAAAGATCAATGCACAAGGAGGAGCGCCATCTCGGCCAAGATGGGCCAGCCCTCGCTCACCAGAATTAAGATGGTTTGGCAGGAACAGGTTAAGCCCCCTCAAGGATACAAATACTACAAGGCCACGTGGTGCGTGTTCGTGTAGGCATGACTGGCGAGGAGATTTGTCGAAATTATGAAGGATTACGGAGGAGCTGCCAGCACTGTCAAAGCAGGATCCAGAAACAAAAGAACTACGGCGAAGAGTCAAGCAGGCAGCAAGAACCGAGAGTAACCGGAGCCTGGCAGAGGCTTCCCCAGCACAAAGGATCAGGAGGAAGCACCAAGTGCACAGAGCCCTTCCTCTGCCAACCACTTGTGACTCTATTCCTCAGATTTCTACCAAGGTAAGCAAGAGTTCATTGTTATCTCCCCTCCCCACCATTTCCTCCTCACCACATCTGTGTGGCGTTGGTTGAGCTGCTTCAGTGGCCAGCCCAAAATCACTCAATCCTGGACTAATGAGTGTGGGCCTGAACTGTCACAGCCCCGTCCAGGTCCGATACGCCGACTGCTACGCAATGCCAGGGTTTCCTCTGCCGAGGTCCAGAGCTGTGCTTGTGAAATCAGGGCAGGTCCAAAGCTCTGGCAGCAGGAAAACCATCCGGCACAGAGGCAGGCACTCCGAAAGGATCAGGAAAGGGTTAAACAGAGCCGTACTCCTCCATTTCCTCCTCCTCCTCCTCCTCCTCCTCCTCCTCCTCCTCCTCCTCCACACAGCTCTTGTGAAGCTGGTTGATCTGGAGCCCAACCATCAGCTCCCTGGCCCTCCCCTGCTGGGCGAAATCCACCTGGGATTCCAGTCACTGGCCTGCCCACTGGACAGCCGTCTGGAGGCTTCGGGGACGCGACACGGGCCCTTCCGCGGCCAAAGTGCAGGCTGTGGCACAGAGAGATGGCCCGTCTGTTGCACAGCACTCCCCTCCCCAGGCCAAACCTCGGCAAGCGGCTGTTCCTCCAGTGGAGCATGCAGCTGGTGCACAACCCAAACGCCAAGTGGTACAACCATGAGAGGCCCCGCTAAAAAGAGTAACTTCTTATTTTCAGACTCTTGCTAGCCTGCCTGGCCGCCTTTATCTGCCTCCTCCAAAAAAGCTGTCTGGTTGCCCCTTGGATTTTTGACTCCCTGCAACAGGCTGCCGTTACGCAATCTTGATCGTTTTGCTACTTTTGTTGAAAGAGTTATTAGAAAAGAATTTACTTAGAAGAATATGCAAAATTAAAACCTGTGAATGATATCTGACGTTCAGACCCATTCCTTTTATTGCACAATCTTTTACTGAAATCTCCATTACCACCACCAAAATAAGGAAAAAATAGTCTAAGATTAATCATTACAAAGCACCTAGATGGGACAGAGATTGCCAATATTAATACCCCAAGATAAATAAGGCAGATAACAATGTAAAAAGGTTAGTTGCCTATTTTCTTAGCTGGAGATAAAGTGCTATTGTTGCTCATGAATGATGTATGATCCTGATTGCTGTATTTCAAGTGTGCTGTACAAAAAGACGGGAAAAGGGGAGACGATGAGAAGGGAGCAGTTGCAAAGCGGCATTGTTCGGGCTCAGTGCGGCACAGTCGGCAGGAACGCAGAAACAGCGCTTCCAAGGAAACGGGATGGCAAAGCAGGCTATCGGGCTACTGACTTTCAGGCTGAAAAACTGCTATAGCAGTAACTCACTGCCATTAATTGCTTTAGCCTCCTCTAAGAATAGTTCCAACTCAGCCTCAGGGGAGCACGGCACCCGTTCCAAAAAATGCATCCACAGCAGCACAAAGAGCCGTTTCCAAATGATGTGTCAGGAAAGCTAAACTCTCGCTATCTTGCTTGCTTGTGCCACTTCCTTGCCGCACGTCCTGCAGACCTTGCGGCCTACCAAGTCCACGTTCAGCCCTCTGCCATTCCTCCCTGCTGCCCTTGCCCTGGAAAGAGCTCAACAGCCTTGGCCCTGAGGAGCATCTTCCTTAGGAACCTCCTGAATCCTCTCCAGCTGCGACTTGTAGGTCCCACAATCCCACCCTCCGCCTGGGAGCGAAGGGGCCTGGCTCAAACTCGGGTAGCCCTATGGCCTTACACTTCCCACACTGGCCCCGTATGCCCTTTCTGCTTCACAGGAACTGTGCAGAAGTGACGGGTCCGGGGCTCCTGGGAAAATCAAATTCATGCAGCCCTTATATTTGCCCGAGAGCCCCCTGCAAGAGTGGGAATATACAGCTTCCTAGAAGAGACAGAACTAGCCTGGGGAGGGACCAGCTGCCCCACCTGGCACTGAGTTTCTAAGCACCTCGGATGCACCTTGACATGCCCAGCTCGGGCCAAGTGGGAATGCAAACACTGGCACTCCTGTCATAGGAACACAGGAACATAGAAACAGAGCGAGTCAGAAGGGACCTCCCCGGCCATCTAGTCTGACCCCTGGCTCCAGCTGGCTCCACTCATGACACGCCTACCATCTGGTTAGGCAACCAGAGGGGAACACAAGATTCCAAGTTTAGTTGCACCAAAGATTTGTATAAGAGAAGTAAGACAGAAGCATAGAGCGAGTTAGAAGGGGCCTCCCAGGCCATCTAGTCTGACCCCCGGCTCCAGCCGGCTCCGCTCACGACATGCCCACCATGTGCACGTCCAGCCTGTCCTTGAACACCCGCACCGATGGGGCCTCAACCACCTCCTGTGGAAGCCCATTCCACACCCTGGGGGTCCTAACTGTCAGGAAGTGCTTCCCGGCATCGAAATGGAACCTTGGCTCCCATGACACAAAGAAGGCTCAAGAGAAAGGCCGAGTTCTTCCATCCGTGTAAAGCTCCCTTTGCCCGTGATGGCATGGTCAGCTTACCGAATCTTTACGGGGCACTAGCGATGCTGTTTCTGTTTA